CGTTTTGAATATTCACACTCATGAATATAGTGAAAGAAAAATGTGAATTTAATGATGAAATAATGAATTTCAGCCCAGCAGAGAGCACAAGAGGCGCTGATATCGTCAACGAAAGAGAACATTCAAGCTTATCAAAAACGTTAGTTTGTTTGATGAATTCATTTGATTGTTTCAATTCGAATGTGCACTTGGGTCTCATTTCATTCCGTAAATGTAACGTACGTTATTCAGAATGTTCCTTCATCTGTTTTCATCGTATAATTCCTGATCTTCACTGACAACTCACACGGCTGATCTTTGTTTTGACACATAAATTTTCATTTTTGTCTCAATGTTATTTTCTTTTTGAAGGCATAGCACATCGTGAAGAGGAGTTGGCAACTGTGAACGAAGAGATAGCGGTGAAGAGGGACGAGATTGAACTCTTAAAGAAATCGACCAGTAAAGAGGAAAATTTATTGACCGAGTATCGAAATGCAGTGGCTCAAATAGAAGGTAATTTTGAGAATTTTGTTGAATTAAAAAAAAATTCTTCACATAGTAATTGTATGAGTGAGTTTTTATTTCAGTTTTAAAAGTATACATTTGGTTTAGCGTTAAATCATTCAGTCAAAGAACCTTCAGAGGAATTTGGAGAATAAACTTGTCTTAATTTCTGATTGATTGAGCTAGTAATTTGAAGAGGTGTGATGGAATTGTTGTAAGATGAAAGATGAAAGTTGAGTGGATATGAGAAGTTGATGATTTGGTTGAATTTTTGTAAGTTTATTGGGGAGAAGATTGAAATTCTGTCAGTTTTACCGTTAGATAACACTGTCGCCGCCTAATATGAACCGTAAGATTTGCGTTGTGGATGAAGAATAATTTGCTTTTTGCAGATGATACGACAAAACTAAAATTAGTTGAAACGAAACTAAGAGAAAGACAAAATATCGCGAATAGTTTATCGTAGCATCGAAAGGGATTGCTGATTGCAGATGATCGTGGTGACTCTTAATAGTAAGTAGTGTTTTGAATATGCATTCACGCAATGTGTGTGACATTTTTTTGATTGCGTTTTTTCGTATTCACATTTTTACATGTGAAATGTTTTTATTTCTTATTATTTTTTATTTCTTACATGCATTTATTGCTGCTGTTGCATTGTGTGCATTTATCACAATTACATTACAATCTTCCCTGATTACGCGTGATTCTCATTTTTGTTGATCTTTAAATGATTCGTTTTAAAGTGAACATTTGAAATCAAATTGAAGAATTTATTGATCCATTTGGAATCAAAATACATTTGGCTGACGATGGATGATGCATTAATGACGATGGATGATGCATGGTTCATGTGACTAGTTGCTTGTTAGCATGAATATTTTAGTGGTTTCTTTCACGTGATGTAAAGAGTAGTGATGAGACTGAAAGAGGTTGTGTTTGAATTTGGAAATATGAGGACGGAGAAGTTATCAGTTTACATTAGTGTAGTTGTTCGTCGATTAGTTAAGATTGTTGAAGTAGCATTACTTAAAGGGGGAAGATGACAGTCTGAGTCAAGGGGATGAGAGCCGTAGTGATAGTAAGCCTGAGCTGTGTCAATGAATTGTTATTAGGGGATATGAAGAACGTTGAAATTGCGAGCAATGGGGGAAGATGGGATATAGGTGGGGGGAAGTTTTGGTGGAGTGTTTGAAGATTCGCGTGGAACATTTTAAAGATTCATCCATTTCACGATCAAATTGTTTTACTGACTGCATTATTTATGTGTTTATTTAGCGTTTTTTGTTGTGGTAGAATTTTTTGTAGTGAAAAATTCGAGAGTATTTGTGAATAACAAGCTGAGTATATTGATCGTATAGCGGATAGTGTTCTTTCAGTTTGCATTTTTCATTCGTTTTATGTGTATANTTGTTCGTCGATTAGTTAAGATTGTTGAAGTAGCATTACTTAAAGGGGGAAGATGACAGTCTGAGTCAAGGGGATGAGAGCCGTAGTGATAGTAAGCCTGAGCTGTGTCAATGAATTGTTATTAGGGGATATGAAGAACGTTGAAAT